GAGTCTTTTTCTGCCATTTAGTTTTGTAACTTGTTGGTAGTTATTAAAGCAAGCCTTTCTGCTAGTCATCAACCGAGCGTTGTGTCAATTCATAAAGCACTAGGTTAAAAATCCGGTTTCTAAGTGCAAGAAGCCCCACTTCTCTCTCATTTCAACTGTGGTCAGACACCGGCAGTGATGCCCGGGAGGCCTCAGGAGCACAGCCTGCAGGTCTGGGCTCTGCGTTTGAAGGAGGACGTGCAGGGGCTGGAGAGGGCCCAGAGACGGGCAACAAAAACAACCAAGGGGTGGAAGAGAAAAGATACGATAAACATCCGGAGCTCAACCAGCAGCTGCAGCTGCCCCAGAGGCTGAGTCCAGCGAGACCTCCGGCTCCGCTGTGCGCTGCTCTGTGCAGGGCTGGCCAGCTCTGTGTGCAGCTGCTTTCACTTCCCCTGACACCAGCCTCCGGCTTCCTCTTCCTTGTCCCACTGCTGCAGCCCCGGCGGGTTTCGGGAGTTGCAGTCCGCTGTGTGCAGGGCCCCCGGTCCCTCCTGCCGTCGCACACACGGCGTTCACGTCGCATCACCCCTGTCCCCCGACTCGCTCCTGTGTCACCTTACGCTTCCACCGTGGGAGAGCGTGAGACAAATGAGCAGTGAGGCCTGCGTGACAGCTTTATTGCGTGACCTCGTTGTCAAGATTTATTTGAATTACTGAAGACAATGCGGACGTAGCCCTGGGTTTCAGGAAGAAAGAGATTCTCTGGCTTCTCTTTTTCCTAGAGACTTTTGCTGAGTTGGTGCCTTTTTTTTTTTTGCTGAGCTTCGGAAATCCATTTTTTCTCCTTTTCAGCCTATGCCCCATTTTTATAGATGGCTGGTTTTAATATTTTAATAAATGATTTTTTATTTTTGTTTTTCACTGAAACTTTTGGAACTGGATTGAACCAGATCTCTTGTGCAGTTGGAAGGTCTCAGTTAGTTGAATTACATGCTCAGGACAGTAAAAGGAAGGGTTTCTTATCTCCTTTCCTTCCCCCCATTGTGGAATGCTGTTCAACACTGGCCTGGTTTTTTTTTTTTACTTTACTTTATGGGTTTGTTTGTTTGTTTTTTTAACAAGACTTCCTTTTTACAAATTATTGAAGCTTTTTAACAAAAAATATATTTAAAATAGCAAATTAACATTGAATATATTTGGTTCCATGAATCATTACTTCTATTTAAATATATTTAAAACGAAATAATATAGATTTAATTATATCAATTTAATTTAAATATAATATTGTCAAATAAAGCTATGATATGGTGGATCTGAATGATTTAATGTATGGTCTTTTATAATTTTTTTCAGGCCTTGTGCTTTGCTTAGCTGTGTTTTGTTAGACATGGGGATGACTTCCTTTACTTTGTTGACCGAGCTGGTTGTTGCATCTGGAAAGGTTCATGCTACGGTCACTTAAACACAAGCTTGGGGCCTTCTGCTTGCTGGTCCTGCTGCAGTTCGGCCTAGTCTTTTTAAGAATAAAGAATAAAAATAAACCTTAAGCCATGTGGGAGGTCTCTATTCAGCACTGGGGAGGCCACATCTGGAGTCCAGTGTCCAGTTGTGGACCCCCACTACAGAAAGGATGTGGACACGTTGGAGAGAGTCCAGCAAAGGGCAATGAAAATGGTTGTGGGCTGGGGGACAGGACTGGTGAGGAGAGGCTGAGGGAAATGGGCTGATTGAGTCTGCAGAAGAGAAGACCGAGGGGGATTGAATAGCAGCCTTCACCTCCCTGCCGGGGGGCTGCAAAGAGGATGGAGCTGGACTGGTCTCAGTGGGGGCAGATGGCAGGACAAGGAGCAATGGGCTCAGGTTGCAGCAAGGGAAGTGGAGGTTGGATATTCGGAAAAACTCTCTCACGAGGAGGGTGGTGAAGCACTGGGACAGGTTACCCAGAGAGGTGCTGGGATCTCCATCCTTGCAGGTTTTTACGGCCTGGCTTGACAAAGCCTTGGCTGGGATGATGTAGTTGGGGCTGGTCCTGTTTTGAGCAGGGGGTTGCACTAGATGTGAACTCCTGAGGTCCCTTCAACCCTCATTTTCTCTGGTTCTATGTTTCTTGGCCCAGAAGCATCCTCTGGCAGCACCCACCGGACCCCCATTCGGGGCCGTATTGGAAAGGCCTGCGCCAACAACTTGGCTGCTGACAAGCACCCTCCATTTGTCGGGCCAGGGTTTCTGTTCTCTGAGCCCACACAGGGGTTCAGCCCATTACAGTGCACCACAGAGGCTTGTCCACCAGGCCTGCTCGTGGCCCTGGTCCCACGGAACCTCTTACATAGCCTCTGGCCCTGAGCCCTCCTCCTGGGGTACCCCCACCAGCTCCCCCGATTCCTCCACCTGTCCCGTGGCCCTGAGGTCTTTGCCTGTGTGCGGCTGCAGCCCGGTGTCTCCTCACAGCCCGGCTGGCGGAGCGTAGGTACCCCGCCATCGTTGTCACGTATCCCGATGGCCTGTTAAATTCGTCCGCTACGCTTACTCCAGAGACAACGTGCAACCGTGCAAGCAACGCTGGGTGCGGTGCACGTCCCGGAGGTGAGCGCACGCTGCCCGGGAGGCCGTGGTGGCAGCAGGGATTCGGACTGTGTGTAACCGGAGGGGATGGCGTGTCCACCGACCCATCAGACACACGCGGCGCGGGCTGCGGTGCATCTCCTCGGGGTTGCAGCGGCGCGGCGCGGCGCGGCTCCGTGAGCAGGGTCCCTGCTTGGGGGCGAGGCGAGGCCAGCCCGGGGCAGGGCAGCGCCCGGCAGCGCGCGGGCGGAGGGGATGCTGCTGCCCAGCCCGGGGGTGCCGTCCTGGGGC